CACTGTTGTTTAGCTGGCCCAGGCTGGGTTTGAACCCGCCAGCCTCAGTGCATGTGGCCAGCGCCATAACCATTGTGCTACGGGCTCTAAGCCTTGAGTAAGTTGTTGTGAACTGAGAGTTGCTTGTTATATTTGGAAAGCATTTATTTTTTTGTTGGCTTTGATGAAAGCCGATTTAGTAAAGAGGTGGAAATAGCTCCAAGATAGGCTCAAGAGAGAATGGTAAACTTGGGAGTTTAGCTGTAAAGGAGAGCTGAGAAATGGAGCAGTAGCTAGAAGGGAATATGGGAATGGGACTGTGGGAGAAGGATTCTTTGTATTAAAGAGGGAAATTCTTATAGCAAGTTTATACACTGATGAAGATTCTTCAGTAGGCAAGAAGAGTTGATAATGGAAGAATTGGGTACAATGCAAGAACACAGAGGAGAAAGGAAATACAGGACACAAGTAGAGTGGTTAACATGAACAGTTCATCCACAGTAGTAGGAGATTCAGGTTCAAGTGCTGTGGATTGGTAGTGGTCATAATGGGACAATGTTTCTGTTTTCTCAAAGGAGCAAGATCACTTAGGGAGGATGGGGAGGAAGAAGAGTGAAGAAAGCTTGAAAAGTGAAAAATACTAGCTCGGCAACTGTAGCACAGTGGTTACCTAGCACAGTGGTTACAGCACCAGCCACATACACTGAGGGTGGTGGGTTTAAACCCGGCCCTGGCCAGCTAAACAATTGCAACAAAAAATATAGCTTGGCGCTGTGGTGGGCACCTGTAGTCCCAGCTACGTGGGAGGCTGAGACAAGAGCATCGCTTAAGCCCAAGAGTTTGAGGTTGCTGTGAGCTGTGATGCCACAGCTCTCTACTGAGGGCAACATAATGAGACTCTGTCTTAAAAAAAAAGTGAAAAATACTAAACACACAGTTTGTTTCTTCCTAAATAAGATATCTTCACTTTCAGTTAGGAATTGGAGTAAATCAGTTAGATTTAAATTTTGAAAACTTCCTACCTATGTTGAACTACTTAAAACTATTTTTTTACTTTAATGTACAGCAAATATTGGTTATAAAAGATTCATTAAGTAGAAATCCTGTCCTCTAAATGTATATAAATTAATTTTATAAAGTTATAAAAATATTTCCCCTTGAAGGAATATTTGGAACACAGGAAAAAAAGTCCTCCCTTCCCAGTCGTCTATATTCCTACCACCCAAGAATAACCCTATTCTTAAGTTCTTTCCATTTTTTTCCTTTTTGATGGCAAGATGCTTATTTTTTTGAAAGGTTAGTTATAATCATACTTTATATGTAATTTGTCATTCTGTGCTTATCAGTTAAGCCCTATAAATATTTTCCCATGTTATTACATAGTTTTCATGACCATCAAATAGTTGGGTCATTATTTGTTGAACAATACCCTATTGTTGGCCATTTAGGTTAACAAGTTTTAGTTGTTCCATATAATTATTTTGAATAAATGTTCCTAAGAAACTCATTGTGTGCCTTTCATTACTTGATCAGCTGTGGCACATTTTTTTGAGCCATATAACCTAAAGAGTAATTCTGGCTTGACTTTTCATTGTGATTTCACAGTCACACTGTGCTAAAGTAAATTCTCAAGCCAAGCTCCGTGGTGTATGCCCACAGTCCCAACTACCTGGCAGGCAGAGGTGGGAAGATCTCATAAGCCCAGGAGTTCCAGGCCAGCCTGGGCAACAAAGGGAGACCCCGTCTCAAAAATAAACAAACAAAAAACTTTAAAGCTGAAGCAAAGAAACAGAGTGTATCTTGGCAGTTTCGTTAGAACTTTTTTTTT